TGCAAACTGATTTACTGCTAAAGAGAAAATCTATTGGAAATCATATGAAGTGGCATGAGCATATGCCTGGGGCTTCTTGGAATATGGAAAATATCGAGCAATTCACAAGTGAGAAACATCTGTGAAGTAAGTGTTGTAATCAAAAGAGCCTTTAGCTGACTGTATTAGAAGGTTAGAAGAAATAAAATCACAAGAAATATAAATAAACATAATGAAATTAATGGAATACGAATCTAATCAGAAAAAAACAGTAAATACGGCTATCTACTACCTGTTTTGATTGAACACCATAATATTTTTCATCGTTGGAATAAATTCTGTGAGGCTTATAGGGTAGGGTCCCTTATCAACCTACGAAAAAGTAATTGCCTTTAGTGGAAGCATACTGTTGGGTACAACTTTCTCAAACAAATCAAAACAGCTTAAGGCAAATGATAAAACTTTTCGCAATAGATGTAAATAAAACTCTTTTTTGTTCGCCTAGCTAAAAAAAGGTTCAGCTCCCAATCAATTCACATCAATTGCAATCAACAGCTTATGTTAACTTTTCTCACACGTTCTATTCAATCAAAAACCACTTGAGTTATAATAATAATAAAAAAAAAATTACAAGTCCCAGCCACAAAAATTATCCTTTATTAAATTGAATACTCGCATGAATAGTGTTTCCTTAATGCTGTCCAAAAATTTGCATATGAAATATTTTGGGGCGACAAAAGCTGACAAAAGCAGGCCGAACGACCCGAGCTGACCAAACCAGGTGCCTGCACTTCACAGACACAAACACCCTCTTACATGTGGGTTTATAATAAGATTTGTTTGGTGCTTGTAACCCCAAAGAATTAGTCTCAAAGCTTTATCAATCGACGACTTTAATGATGGATCTTAACCTTAGATTGAATTTGCAAAACATACTGAAATGTTTTCCTTTTCACTATTTCTCACAAGATTTTGCAACTGCAGGTACACACAAAGCCCGCATTGGGATACAGATCCAGGCGTGTGGGCGTGGCCATGCGCTCCTCAAAGGATGCAAATTGTCGCTGGTGATGGACGAACTCAAGGCTGACCTTATCATTGAAGCGGCGCCGGGGCTTTTCAGCGAAGGGCCTGTAGCGATTGAAAAGCTCGCACATAATCTCGTTCGGATACTTGAGTTGAATTGGTGGTATAGGATAGGGCGTAGCTGCATCATTGCATCGGATACAGGGCTCATCCTGTATAACTGACGTCTTGGCATTGTCATTCTCCCAGACCCCCTTCTGGATTTGACCCGTGTGCATGTGATAGAAGACGCCCTCGCCGTTCTTAAAGCCCCGTGCAAAGTGACCCTCATAGCGATTGCCATTAGCTGCATGTGGATAAAAAGGGAATACTTACTCTTCATCAGAACTGTTGTTGAAACACATTCTGCTCACCATAGAAGTAAACGCCCAGGCCATGCTTGAAGTCTGCTTCCCATTCGCCCAGATAGATGCTGCCATCGGCGTACCACTGAATGCCCATGCCATGCCGACGATTCCGAAGCCAGCGTCCAAAGTACACACAGCCATCCGAATAGAAGTGTTTGCCCTCGCCGCATTTCATATCGTCGTACCACTGGCCATTGTACACGGTTTGCAGATCTGTGCCGCGTTTGCGCACCATCGAGCCGGCGCCTTGGCGCTTGTTATGTGACCATGTGCCATTATAGACAAGCTGTCCCTCCGGCTGCTTCTTCTGCGCGTAGTAGCTAGCGGTGCGCTCCGCCGTGGTTTTCACTCCCCAGTCATGGTTCTTGTTGCGCAGCCAATACCCTTTATAGGTGCCTCCGTTCGGGTAGACAAAGGTGGAACGGACACCCGTACTAGAAACAGGCTTGTTGGGGCAGAAGAAGCGCTGCAGGCAGGTGCGCATTATCAGAAATTTACAGTATTACTATACGATATATAAACGATAACCAATGTTCAATGCCTAATCGAACAGAAGGAACACGGTATGTTATATCCAAAAATTCTTGTATTTTGTTGTGTGTTTTGTAAAATAATAAAGGTTTCACTGGAACTGGAAATAAGTTTCATAATTTTTAAATATTTCGTAACACAGCTTGCTGGGTATAAACTTACTATACGAAAACCTACATACAATCCTGTATTAGAACTAGGGCAATGATAGTATCCAAATCGTAATGATTATCTTAATAAAAAAAATCTTAAGCAGAAACATTACTTTTTACTGAATATTCTTGAGTATTTGGTTATAGTTCGTTGATTTTAATTTTTTATTAACTATTTTACTTTATTGACGCTTCATATATCTTAAAACAAATCAATTTTTCAATGTTTGTAACGTGACACTCTTCTGATCTCTCTCTGTCAATTAATTGCATAGAGAAACAAGTAAGAAGGCTCCAGTCGAGACTGCTCGACTAGGAGATACCCTGAACCCTCCAAGCTGATATTCTAATCAGTCTGGACTTCTTTTATGCACACATACATACACATGCACTTATAAGCACGCTCTGCTGACTGCGCAGTTAGCAGCGACTGCGCTTGGGCTGCGCTGCAATGTGGGCAATATTATGAGAATTTATTTGTTGAATAATTTCTTTTGTAGACATACGATCTTAATGAAACTTTCAGAGCGTAATCAGATGGTTAAAATATGTGTACATTCCAAAGCACAAGTCTCTAGTACTTGAAATGCGTTTTTTACAAATTGGGGGTGAAGGGGGCGTGGTATCCAAAATCTGTAAATTACAAAATCTTTGTGTCCAATAACTCTATATACAACGCAAATTTGAAGTCTCCAGGTTTAAAAGTGTTCAAACTAGGCTGAAAAAACCAAGTCGATTTTTCGATTATTCTCGATAAAAAAGTTATCGGATGAGTTATCGAAAAAATAAAGCAAACTCGTACTGCCTATGGTATACACGAGTATGCATGCCAAATTTCAGCTCTCTAGCTCTTATATCTTCTGAGATCCTTTTGCTCATACGGACGGACGGACGGACGGACGGACGGACGGACGGACGGACGGACAGACGGACAGGGCTATATCGACTCAGCTCGTCACGCTGATCAAGAATATATATACTTTGTGGGGTCTGCGATGATTCCTTCTGCCTGTTACATACTTTTCACAAAACCATTATACCCTGATTTCCCATTTTCAATGGGTTCAGGGTATAAAAATATTTTTGTAAGCAAATTAAAGCATTAAGTCCCTTTGTATGCGAATATACATACATATTTGATATTATCAACTCAACTGAATATACAGTTCACGAATAAATATTATGCCTAAAAACAATTCATATATACTTTATTCTGTAAATATATCAAATATATCAAATCTCATTCAGTACGCACATATAGTAGTGGCACGGAATATTAGGTCTAGCTAATACCTTGCAATTTATTTTGTTTTATTTTAAGCTGTTTTTCCTTGTCTTTTTCATTTTTATTTATTTATTTATTTTTTTTTTTTTTTTTGCCAACTTAACGTATGCAGCATATAAATATTTAATTTTAATTGCTCGCAGCATTTATCCATTATTAAAATATCAATTTTGTGCTTCACAATTTCTGATGCTTCTTCTTCGTTCTATCATATCTATTATATGATATTTTCGTTATCGTTATCTACTTTGTAACATCGGCGCAACCTTAGAACTTTAAGCCGACAGCTTAATGGCCGCCAAATACCTGTGTAGGTACTGGGACAACCCCAGTGCGTACAATGCCTTGATGGCCGCTTGCCACGCCCACTGGCCACGACCCAACCCCGACCCCAACCCCAACCATAAGTTCAACTCGCAGTCGCCCACGCTGTCTACTTAATGATAAAAGAAAGGACATTAGCGGACCGCGGCGCATCTTCACATTTGGAGCGCCTTTCAAGTGAAAAGCAAAGAATTAAAAAAAATTAACAACAAAAAGGAAAAAGGAAGCGCCAACGAAATTTGGGGGAGAGGCACAAAAGAAAGACGAGAGTAAAAATAAAAAATAAGAAAAGAAAACGAAAGAAAAAAGTAAAATGTGCCACGCGAAAGATTTGAAATTTTTCGTCCGCCCATTTATCAAGTTGCTTTTATTTCGTTGCGTGGGCGTAGTTAAAAATTAATAAATGAAATTAATGTCGGCGACACTTTGTCCTAAAAGGAAGAAGCAGCAGCGTCACTAGCAGCAGGACTTGGCCAAAAATGGCCGTTGCCAAGGGTTTCCTTTGAGGCCAGCTTGAGAGCAAACGCTGCTGTTGCTGCCGCTGCTCGAGCTGTGTTTACATCAAAAACATTTTCATTTGATATATTCTGTGCCTAAAAGTCGATAATGCTTTTTGCACCGACAGCTGCGTAACATGAATTTAATTAGCGTACGCCCAACACTTTTTTCCTTTCTCTCTCAATGTGGACCTGGGTCCATCTGAAGCTAACACAATTAACTGCCCAACGGGAAAGTTAACGAAAATAAAAAAACGTATATACACAAAAAAAAACTTTGCATCTGGCAAAATCTTTGTAAATTCATCTTTGTCGCTGCCGGTGATTAATCACAGAGGCGGGCAGCCCTCCACGTGGCTTGCCCCTATGCCCAATGAACAGGTGTAAAACCAGCTGTGCGTGTGTGTGTGTGGGTGGGTGTGGATGTGCCCTTAAAGTGTCCCCCTGGTGCTGTACCGTCGCAAAGTTTGCGCTTAATATGCAAAACTGTTCAAGCTTTGCGGTGGATTAAAAAGTTTGCCAAGCTTCGCTCCCGACCAGGCCGAGCAAATGGAGTAAGACATTAAGCGCTCTTAGCCAAATTAGCGCTGGGGTAGGAGACAACTGTACCCAAGATTCAGGTGACAAAATCGCATTCTTCTAAGCCAAAATATGTCTGAGCTTCTAGTAACACAGTTTAAATTGAATTCTTGGTAGATTTGACTGAATCTATAGGTACACTTGGCGTGTCCACATTATTCTTGGAGCACTCTGTGAACCGTTGCATCCACAATTAATCAAATAATGTTTTTGTTTTCAATTGAAAATAAAATAACAACAAATTTATTTGCTGAAATGCAATTCTAACATAACAAAATAAATATCAACTAACTGCCTAGATTCAATCTGGGATCGATGATGCCTCCTCCGGGTGTTACCTCGCCAAAGATTCCGCCGCCTGGATTTTTGGACGGTTGCTTGGGTCGCTGATTGTGACCCCAAGGAGGCAGTTCATCCAAAATACCACCTGCGGGATTCCGCGAGGTGAAAGTCGGCTCAAATATGGCTGGACCCGGTCCAGATCCAGAGTTTGTGCTCGGATTGGGAAAATGTATGGGATTTATGATCGTACGGCCGGGCGGAAACATTTCGTCGAAAGTCGCCGTGGCCAAAATTTCATTAGCCACATCCAAAAACTTCTTAGACAATCCACGCTCCAGGCCAGGCACAATCTCATTGAGGTACAGGTCCTGATTGTCGTTGATCAGGGTGTTGCCCACCGTACCCAAAATGCGATCTCCGTTGAACAGATTGTCTAGCTGCAGCTTAAAGTCCTTGAACTGTATTCTCATGGTCATCTTGGTGAACTTGACGTACTCCAAACCATGCCTCAGATAGCGTGTGCCGCGCATTTTGACGGACGCCTTGGCATTATCTAAAATCAGAAAAAATCGAGTGTAAGTCTAGGAGTTTACTATCCCATTTCCCTGCACAAACCGCAATATCCGCGCATGTTGCCTTTGCCCTGAATGTCCAAGAGCAGCAGATTCAGTCGCATAGAGTGTTTGCCTTGGAAGTCAATGCGAGGCAGCGTTATCCACAGATCATAGGAGATGTCCTCCGGCTTGGCACTAAATAAGGTGTCACATAGATACCAATGCTTCTCAAATTCTCCATAACACTCACATAATGCGATCGATTATAAAATTGCTGCCACCTGTTGCCTCCAGCTCCGAAAATGTTGCCTGGAATTGGCTGCTGCGGCCCAGCTCAATGTTGTCCAGTTGCAGTGGCTCCAACGGGGGCGTTCGATAGCCATCTCCTAGATTGCCATGCACCAGCAAAGGCCGCAGACGGTAGACGGCATTGATGATGCAGCGTTCCAGCTGGGGATCATTCCGAGCACAGGGCGTTATGCTAGAAGCTATAAATAGTAAGCACATAAATAAGTGCGGAAGTTGATTTTAAAGTGACCTTGGTCCAAAACGTGCAACCTTCAACTGAAGTATTGCTGCGTTGCAATTTTATTAACTACTACTATGTCATACACTATATACATATGTATATGTATATAAAAGCTTCATATGTGGCGTCTAATTTGTTGTACACTTTAGCTGAGCATAATTAATATGCGCAACAGCTGCAATCGACGAACTGTTATTGCCGAAATCGTGGCTTTGACTTGACTCAGGTCAGTAGCCCTTCTGATGGCAGACTGGTGGTCAGTCAGTATGCTTATACGGCTCAGAGAGTAATGCAGCCGTACGATATCATATTTGAATGAAAAAAGAGACTTAGATTAAGCTAATTATTTATGCGAACATGTTTTGAAATATATTAATTTATACTCGACGGAATTAAGTTTATGAAATTAGGTATGCAATGAAAGGCATATAATAGAATATGTATATTTACAAAATTCTCTATCAACTTCAGAACCTGGAAATTAAAATTATAAATTTTTCTCAGAGCTCGCCAGATTAAATATGTAATTTCATTAAAACAAATCACTGAAACAACTTCGAAGATCTGGGCATTGATTGGATCCAGTTTGGATAATAATTAGTAATTAAAGATATATGTTATTGATTTTGAATTATAGTTTATTAACAAAAAATTGATTTTTTTTAATGAATTTTAATTATAATTAAGAAGTTTTTCTTAGTTTATTAGGCATTAAAGGTTAGTAGCCAAATATAAACAAAATATATGTAAATATATATATACATATTTGTTGATATATATTGTATTTATGTTATTAATCTACGATTTATTGATTTTATTTTAGCAGAACGACACCTTCCACATTGAAAGGTTGTGACTTTCCCTGACTTGGACACACCTATAAATTGCATTGCATTTTAATTGAGAGCTCAATGCCTGGATATCGCTGTTTGATTGACTGATTGGCTAATACGTTCGACCTACAGCAATTCGGAATTTCCCAGATGTATTTCCCCATTGCACTCTACTCACGCAATTTGGCGCTGCTCCAGTGACACAGAGCCAACATTAGCAGCAGCAGCAATAAATTTGAGCTGTGATCAGCGAACATCTTGAGAGGCAGACAATCGGCTGAATGAGACTGAAGCACGAACTATATATAACTGAACGAGACTGCAGCACTGAGCTATAGTTATATATGTATATTCAACTGAAAGCGAGAGTGAAGCGTTCTCGTTGCGCCCGAGCGATCGACTAAATATTCGCCAAGTCGAGCGTTGCTCTTTTGATTGAATTAAAACGAGGTGTCTAGTGACGAGACTTAATACTTGGCTCAGCTCGCTTTGAATGTGTCTTTCTATCCATTGGAAACTTAACGCACTGGCCCGCACACGGTCATTTGGCATTGGGGCACGTGAGCGCGGCTTGCATGTAAAGTAAAATTTATGTAGTTTTAAGTGAATTATAAACAATGCGTAAATCGCGCCTTGCCTGTAATGTTTAATAATAAATGCAGGCAAATCAACTCTGAAAATTTGAATAATAAATTTAGAGGGAATAGAGAGAGAGAGAGAGAGAGAGAGAGAGAGAGAGAGAGAGAGAGAGAGAGAGAGAGAGAGAGAGAGATAGACAGAGAGCAAATCAAACACTTGACCAGGCGCTAAACTTGTTAACAATTCAAAAAGTACAAAATTGTCATAAAACAAGAGAGAACAATACGAATATTTTAAAGAAAAACAAAATATTTATGTTTTTCCAAATGCAAATTTCAGCTTTTCATTTTACTAACGAAGCAAACACGCGATTATGATTAGGGGGTGATGAAATCAGCTCTATGAATGGGGGCAGAAAATCACAGTTGAATTTTAGGAAAATGTGATACGGAAACTTAAATATATGCTTAAAATACATCCAAGCGAGGGAAAAATCTTTTAAAGAAAGCTAAAAATATATTAGCAATAACGCCTCTATCGGAGCAGCGCCACGTTCAAAATTTGTCCAGGTTTCCGCACCATATATAAACACTGAAATGATGAGAATCTTGTAAACTGTGAAATTATTCCTGCAAAGAAGATCTCTATTATTCTTATTGTACTGAGCCACAGTAACGTTAGTTAATCCCTAATATGACATTATTTAACACTATTTACTCAAATATCAATATTATTCGGATAATAGTTTTTTTCTCCCAAATTTCTATAAATTGTCTAATTTGTCTTTAGGTAATTCCCTTTAGGTAATTCCAACTAAACAAGAGTCAAAATCTATTCGATTTTATTTAGTGAATGGAATGCCTAAACCAAATGAAATATAAATAGATTGCGGTAACATTTCTTGTTATAGAAAATCAATGAATACTTGAAAACTTACCCATTTTCAGAACTAATCGATGCAACTCGCATTAGTGATGAAAGAACAAAGCAAATCTACTCCAATGACAAAAGGCAACATTTCTGTTCCAGTGGACGCGGTTTCCTAAACTACTCGATGTTAACCATGTGCCCATATAAAATAAGGAAACAAATAGTCTAAATCCAACCCCCTCGACTGCCTTGCGTGCTGCACTGAAGCGCGGTGACCCTTGACACCCAATGAGCAAAGCGGACGGGGATGCACAATTCCACAAATTAAACCAACAAGTAGTTCCGTTTAATATGTAGTATACTATGCTACATTTGAGTCAAAAGTTACCTGACCATAAAACCTGACACGCATTTAAATGATGGGGCAGCAACTCAAAAAAAAAAAAAAAAAAAGGTGGCAGACCATCAGAAACAGCAGTTGCAACCCCCACAAATCCAACTCCCAACCCCTCCCATTCGGCAAGCTTTCTTTTATTTATGCCGTTTTGAAGAAGATAGAAACACATCAAATTTGGTAACAAATTACATTTGATGCATGTAATAAAAATCTCGCACAGCTGCAGAGATGAAACACGTTACAAAAAATATAGCAGAAAATAGGCGTTCACACCGCATTTTGGCCTAATTAAGTTTTCAAGTGCAATAAAATGATGGACCCGGATCCGCAGCAGTTGCTCTATTGCGTGCGGGCATCAAATTTGCGCGAAAGTACATAAAAACACAAGTTAAAAACTTAAATGGATATGCGAGTCGTCCGTCCGCATTAGGACTCCTCCTTACTAGGGCGTCCACGCCTACGTTTTGGTTGAGACTCCTCCGCCGCATCTACACGTCGCCTGCGCTGATTTTTGCGAGCGGTTTCCTGTTGCTTTTTGGACGGCTCCTTCTCTTCCTCCCGTACCTTTTGCTGTTTCTGCTTTTTCTTCGGCGCTTGCTCTGGCTCCTGCTCCGGTTCTTGTTGGTCATCATCATCCACCTCATCTTCCTCTACAGGCAATGCATCATCGCTGTTAGTATGCTCTTCGTCAGCATCCAAATTGCTATCGGACACCTCAATCTGGCTGCTGTGTGAATAGGTACGTTCAATAACAGCTCTCAAATCACCCGATTGTATATTGAAATCCCGCACAGCACCAAAGTGCAAATAATTCGCCAGCCGATCATAGCTTTTGAACTTCTTTGACAACAATATAATGTGCTTATTGAAATTCTCAATAGCCAATATAACTTTCGGTATGAATCGTGTCTCGCGCAGCACCTTGGCTCGCTCTGCCTGAGGCTTGCGTTTTGTTGCTGTCTGATGAGGCTGTTCATCCAAAATATTGTACTCCACATACGATATGAGCTGATAGATATTTGCGGGCAAAGGTTTGCCAACGTTGCGTACCAGCTGCTCAAACCTGAAAATAATTGCGCTTTAAGGTAATTATCGCAAATTGAGAATCTGCACTCACTTGTTGCTTTTCCCGGAGCTGCTGCCCAGATAGTGCCTGGCCAAATTTTTGAGGCACGTATAATGCTGAATAAGAAGCTTCATCAGTCCATCCATATGATTTCCTAAGGGAATGCACACATTTGTAATTTCCAGCAACGTGCGTGTTATAAGTATTAGCTGAGCACAAATGGAACCCTCCAATGTGTCTAGATTTCCACGCCAATAGATGCGATCGGATTCGGGCACTATGTTACATTTATAGCTTAAATTGTTCGCTTTGATAACAAAGTATTCCACATCTTCTAACTGCTTCTGGACTGCTGCATATAGGTACTGTAAACAAGTGGCTGTTGTGCTCATATTGAGAGACTTTAAGCCCAGGTCGGACTGCTCGGAAACGTTGTCATCGTTTTGCCAGCCCAGTACTTTACCCAGCTGCCTAGCTACTGCGTCGAAGAACGGACCGGAATGCGTCTTCTGTCGCTGAGTAAAGAGCATTCGATGCAACAGACCCATCTCTGGATTCTGCAGTTCGTACGTTTGACAAAAGTCTAGAAGCCAAGTGTACGAGTCTATTGTTGCACGCTCTCCATAGTTTATATGATCATAGAACAGCTCCAGCGCCTCTAGCAAATACACAGGCAGCTTGCTGCTACTGCTATCCGTGTTGATATCCTCTTTCATATACTGCACGAGCACATCTTGCAGCACATAAGTGACTTCCTTGCTCTTATTAACAACTGCCATATCTGTGAAACATTAGACGAAGTTAATAAATACACGAAAATAATTTGAATGCAGCTCATGCTCACCAAAACCTTTGACGAACTCTTTAAAACGTCTGCCATATGTCTCGTGGGCCGTACGAACGCATTGCATAAAACACTTGGCCGCAAGCACAGCGCTCTCCACATCAAAGTCTTGCCAAAGCTCGGACAGCCGTTGAATACAGCGCTCATAGATGACTTTAGTAATGTCTGTCAGCAGCTTTAAAGTGCGCTTGCTGTAGGAGAGCTGCTTATAATCAGGTTCCTCACGGATCCCCTGCACTTTCTGTGCCGTAATTTCCAGGACGTAACGCACGAGCGGCTCATAGCTGCGCAGAGGAGCGGTGTTTGCTGCACTTGCATAGGGTACATGATCGCTAAATGGAAACAATAGATAATAACTATCGAAATATATACAAAGATGTATGATAACCCACTCATGTAGCACATGCAGTAACTTTTCAATGATAGCCAGATCCCAAATATTTTTCGGCTGTGTGCACATTTGCTTCAACTTGGATGCATTCACGCTCACATTAATGGTCGCATTACTATCATTGGGTTTTGCTTGCTTTTGTACTTTCTTTGAAGTGTCTGATAAGGCACCTAGATCCTTAATAAGCCTCTGATGCTGTTTGAATAACGGTAGCAGCTGTCGCAATGCATCATTGCCTGCCTTAGAACTAAGCAACGAGTGAGCAATCAAACCTTCAATTAAATTCAGCTGCTGCTGAATCCGAGCACATTTCAAAGGAGTAGCTGGCGGGGCCTAGGTAAAATGAACAGTTAAATACAAGCTTTACGCATTAAATGATAACAGATACTCACTGTGTCTTCTAAAGGTAGTCTATTTGTTACCAAACGCTGCGTGCAAATCGTCAGCAGTCGCTGCATTTCCCTCACATCGCAGCCGGAAGGACCGCGTTCAAAGATGGCTAAGCAATGGGCCACAAACTGCACTAAACATCCTAGATTATCTTTTATATCTAATTGTTCATCCTTAACAATCACTAAACGATCGTAATTTATAGCAAAGTCGGTGTCCAAATCATCTGCGGACTGATCTGCAGACGGCGTGTTGAAGAATCCACGGAAATGAAAATCCACAAACTGGAGCACATGAGGCACCAACTTGGCATTCAGTTCCACTGCACGCTGAAGATCTGAAAATGAGGAAGGCCGTCATTAAGTGAAGTGTCTCTGCATACCGGCGTCTACTTACTCTCGTAAAGTGTGCATCGTATGCCCAATTGCTGTTCAAAACAGCTGCGCAGTATTCCAATGATCTCCATTGTCAGCATATCGAAATTACGCTGTGGATTGCTGCGTGTGGCAAATGAGCTTTGAGTCATCATGGAGTACCCGGAAATGCTGTGCTGGGTGCAAAAGCTGCTGGCATTTTGAGACTGCCGAGCCGAGTTACTGTTGTTCAGCTGTTTGAGAATCATGCAATAACCAAAAATAGCCATGCGACGTGTTCTGTAGTCCCTGGAAGCCAACAAATGGAATGGACATATAGTGAAATAGTATGTGAATATATTGTAGGGAACATACTTGGTCATGGCTTTGCGTAGCACTTCAATCAGCGCATCCCGCACGCGATTTGAAAGCTTTAGCAGCGGCAAAATAAAGTTCATCATGCGCATGGATTGCTCTCCGGGCAGCTAAAACAATAAACAAACAGAAATGTTTAGTGTGTTAATAGTGCGGAAAAATAAATTGACTGACCCACAGAAAATCTTCCATTACAGTTGTAATTGTTTCCAAACACTCCGAGACAGTGTATGTGTCCGCAACACTTAGCATGGTTAAGCATTCTATAAAGGTTTAAAAATAAGTATAACATTGTATATATATCAGAAAGTTAGTCACCAGAGAACTGATTCTGCTCCTGATCCACGACCATCCACTCGGCTATGCGTTTGATTATTCCCTGGCCAAACATAAAACGTCGTCTTATGAACTTGGTCAAGAACGTAATGGCCAACGTATTCAACTTAGGTGCATTGTGCGCTTTAAGCAACGTAAAAGCCAAGTTAACCAATCCGGGAGTGACTACATCCTTGCCATCTTTATTTTGATCAATGAGCACTGTAAAAACCTGCAGCATATCTACATGTTTGCGCTGGAGCGTATCTCGGCACCAAACTGAATACTGTGCCAACGTTTGTTCCTCTTCGTTGTTGCGAATGACATTGCGAAGAAAAGGCAACAGTATACAGCTAGAGAAGCGCGCAGATTCTGGATCACGATTAACAGCTGTCATGGAGATGATAGCGCTGAGCATAAATGGAGTTAGAATGACATCAGGCATATGTAGAAAGTTCTAAGTATGGTCAGGAATTGGTTAATTTTTTGTATACTTGATATGATATGCAGCTTACTCTAAGCATAATCGCTATTTGCTGCTCGCTAAGCAAGTACATGGTGCAATAGTTCAAATGATGTAGCACAGTCTCCTCCGCCTCGCGCAGCTCCTTGTCAGAGTAGGCATCTATAAAAAAGGACTTAGTATAAAGAAAACGAGAGGAATTATGAATACGCACCGATGCTATCAAAGTCTGTTGAATTGCTGCACATATCCGAAAACAACTGCTTATAATAGTTTTTATGAAAATACTTTTCCAGCGATAATAGAGGGATAATAAGCTGTGCAGCGCTTGTGCACATGGAAAAGAGTTGGTAGCACAGCGCAGGCAGCTCCATGGGTGACAATTCCTGCAGGGCGCCTGCAAACTTATTTAGCACAGTCAAACGCTCACTAGGGCTGAGCTTTAGCATACTGCAAGGCAAAATATTGTAATTATCAAGTTAAGAGCAAAAGCTATAGGACCATGGTGATAGAACCAACCAAAACATATCGGCAATGGGTGTCAGAATAGTAATGGGCCAGCGCATAGTGCTCAAATTACGAATAGTGTTATCTCTAAACTCCTGCCCCGTCATGGCGATGTCATTAATAATGAGGCGTGGCCTGACGGAGAGCACGAGCAACGTCTCTGGCAACAAATCTTTCCACGCTACGCACTTGGCATCGCCAGCTCGCATATCATCCATGCAGTGCTCGATAATCCAATTCAGCTGATCTGATGTATAGGTGTTTAAGTCCTGACAGAGACGCGTTATCAAGTCCACGCTTAGCTTGTAGCCCATCTCAACAGTGCGCAATCCATCTAAAAAGCTGCGAACACAGGCGAAACGCTTCTCCTGCGTATCGACGCTGTTGCCATCGTAGGCGAGTAGAAGATAATTCCAAAAATTAATGAAATCCTTTTTAGGCAGTCGGGCGTTCAAAACTGCAGTTAGCTGTTGATTTGATAATTAATGGAAGCAACAAATTATCTTTTACAAACTTAATAATATTGAAGACTCCCTTCTTACCTCCTTTACGCTCGTTTTCTTGATCAGCTCACGGAGCTCCTCAATTTGGTTTTTTTCGCCCAATTTACATACACGGACGTGCAAGGTGGTGTTCATGTTGCTTCTTAAGCTCAAATACTTTATCTATGTTACAGTAAAATCGGTTTTAAATTTAAATTATAGACTTATGTGCAACATTTGGCGCTGTTTTGTATATAGTGGTGGAAGTTTTACATTACAACTTCCCATTATTGACTGTCGGTGCGCCGCCACAATTAATCGATACATCGTTTCGCGTTTATGTGTAAATTAGGGTAAGCCTGTTCAGTTAATTCGCCAAGTTAATATATACTTCGAAGTATTCATCGATTATGAAATAATAAGACCCAAAGTTTTTTTTTTAACTTTGTGTATTTTAGTATATTCAAATGTATGTTTTAAACTGTATTATTAAGATATTCCTCTTTATCGGATTATAATTAACAAGCAAACTAAATTGTTTAAATTTAAAAAAGCGTTATCGATGACTCTTATGACTTTATTTAAATTTACCGCCAATGTCTACCTTATCAGAAACTTTAAATGGTCTGCAGTGAATTTATAAAGCACATAGAATGATGATTTTCACAATCTCAAATTTCCTATATTCGATTGGGAGAATTTGAGTTTTAGCATTGTTTTTAAATATATTTTTGAATGAAAATCATATTTACATTATTTACAATTGTGAAAGCAAGATTTGCTAGATTCAAAAAATTAAAGCTAATTCACACATTTTAAATTTGCTGATTACAACTATATTTATTGTTAAACTAATTTATATACATGTAACTAGTCGGTTGTTTCCATCTTGAGCACAAACTTCTCCATTATGGCATTAAGACGCTTACGTTCTTTCAGCTGCTGTTGCATTAGATCTGAGATTTGCGTGCCCATTGCCAAAAGAGCTTCTGTATTCGCTTCGGTACGCCTGGCATTTAATCGTGTTTGTCTGTTCAGCTCTCTCAGCTCCTTGGCTATGTCTAGGAGCACGGTAGTGCCACTGAAGCCAGCTCCACTTCCTGATCCATTAAGATTCTCATGGTCGAGTTTTCGCTTCTTGGCTGAGGAATTTTGCTGATGAAGCTGCTGCTCCACCTTGACACCGAGATCACGCACGCTGATGGACTCTGCAGACGCAGCGTCATCATCATCTTCTTGTTCATCGTCCTCTAGAGTTTAAATAGTTTATTTTCTAGGCAATCGTCGAAAGGGAGCCGATCTTACCATTATCGGATGCGTCCTCATCCTGATCTGGTTTGATGTCTTGGAGGCGCAACTTAGCCTTCGGCTGTGACTCAACAATAATGTCTGCCATCTCATACAGATCTGTAATAGTTGCCACGGCATCCTCCAGAGGGGTGAGCGTATCCTGGTACAGAGAACTTTTCCCCGTACCATTTGGCTCCAGCCTGTTATTAGCTATTTTCTTCCGTATGCAGCTTTTCCAATCCTTCCAAACCTACAAATAATGCATGTCAGTATACAAGTTAAATTTATGTGTGCTACCCAACTAACCCGCTTCCATTCGGCGGCTTCTTTAACTGGCGGTCCCACACTGTTTAGCTCCTTGCTTAATCTTTGCCAAGCGGCTTCACTGGCCAATTTGTCGCCTTTGTAATAGTTTTTGGCTATGATGGGATGTCTTTCCATGAATGCAACGAAGATAGCATCCTGCTGTGCCGTCCTGTGTTTTCCCCTGCAATGTTAAACATAATTTTGTGATTTTGTTTAATAATTTACTCAATTTTATTTACATTTTGCAATATTGATTATTTTCTTGCACTGTCAAATGGTATCTAAATTGTTTGATAGTAAATATATCGATAGATTTTATTTTATAAGCGTGTGGAGCAGGCGTAAGGCAGCCCTGGAAAGTTTGAGCGCGCACTTTGAAAACCCATAAAATGAGTAGATAGATATTTTGTTTCTAAATACTCGATAAGTATTCTTGGAAATACGAAAGATGAACTATATTAAGTTTAATTGGCGGGAAATGTTTTAATGTTAAAAATTACACAAATATACTTAAAGCATACACAAACACATGTATATAATTCATTATTTTTGTTAATGTTTTGCACAACATTCGCTGCTTTGTGCATTATTCACTCCGTCCAAATGTCTGAAATCTTATCAGTAATATTTGTAGTGAGGGAAATACAGATAAGCACTTTGCGGAGATTACAATACCTGTCGTCGCTTTTCCTCGTATGGGTTAGGCACCTGTGCGGCCAAAACCGAGCAATCAGTACGAATAGTTTAACAGGTGGAATAAGGTAAAACCGAAAAGCACTTCTCCGGCTGTGCAAAAAATAATATATATATATATTGTGCATTATATATATATATAATAAGAACAAATATAAGTCAAAACTTGTGAGCCAATATATTGTGCAAAATAATGAAAATACGTCTTTCTCTTAAAGTTAAATAAGTGAAAAAACTTTTACAAATTTACCCACATGAAAAACGCCCCATTTTAAAAAACTGTTTTAAACTAACTGTGCTTAAGCAATTAAATGTTATCTTATCTTATGAAAAATCGCTGTTGGGTGTAGTATAAAAATTATATGTATATACATAAATGTGTGTTCATACCAACTATTATCTGGAACTTGTGCAATAGGTAGTTCCGTTACAAGGCCCATGGTTTTGGTATTCCAGCTGACTCACCCGCTTGGGGCTTTATACGAATAGCTGAGCGAGTTTTTACCATAAAACCAACCAACTAACGGTGCCAATCTATGGCATTACGAATAAATTCTTTCTGCAACTGATAATAAATTGATAACCGATATTGTGTGTGCCTATGTGTGTATATAAACGGCATATCAAGGCGTTTTGACTCATGCCCTTATAGTGTTTTATAATATGAATTTTATATTTCTGTCGATAAAAAGTATATTACTGTGCGTCAGACATGACATCAGCTTCCTTTTATATAGAAGGAATATATAGCAAAATATATATATTCTACTTTTACTGACATTTCCCTGCTTGGATTGATGTAGAATCCACAAAGCTGACAAAGCCTCGTAAATTTCGACCTAAACAGGAAGTGACACATCAATGAAAGATATCATTTACCGATTAGCAATAGTGCCTCGACTGGATTATTTCATATGAGAAACTGTTTTGGATTCAATTCAGGGGCACTCACTCTTTTAAGCTAAACTAACTAATTTATGATATATGTAGATACCAAAGAGCTTTACAGAGAACTTTAAAATTTTCTCTGTCATTTTCAAAGATGTCTTCTTTACTCAGATATCTCCAGTCGGAGTGCGGCATATCACAAGTGACACTAATGAATTTACTTAGTTAAAAAAAGTAATGATCAGATCTGATCAATATTCTTGCACCTGCAACCGAACGGCGCACCAACTCAGACAACTGAAAACCCGAAAAGCCGTTGACTGTGTGTAAATGTTTGCATTGTGATAAGGATAACAAAGTTTACACTTGCGCGTAAATCAAACACGAGTAATTGTTGGCTGGAACTGGGACTGGGGCTGGGGCTGGGGCTGGCGATAAGGCCCAGCCTGTACGCAGTGGATACAATGGGCGAGAACTCTTATCTGTGTGTGGACAGGCATAAGCCATTCGGACGCTGACTCAACGTGGCTTCAAGCATTTATTGTAGTATTTTTTGGGCCACGGCCAGTTCGATAAGTGATATATCGTTTTGTAACTAAACGTGGACAGAATCTCGAACAGAAGCTAGAGAACGATAGTTCGCACTAACCTGCCCGAACGTGTTCTAAATGTTTGATTTATGCTCAAATTTCTACAATTTCAGGCAATACCGCCAGGTGGTGATTTATACTCTCTCTATTCAAAAAGAAGGGGTATACATCTCACTTATTCCAACCTACCTGTTTTAATCGAAATTTTTAATATTAACCTACTTTCAGCTGCCCCTCAACGAACCCATTTCATAAACGAAACTAAGAAGGAGCCACGGCATGCTAGTTGCACAATTTAAGGCAGCCGCTGTCTGCCTCTGCCTGGGGTTCCTCATGGCTATAGGCTCAGTGCAAGCACAGGAGAATGCCCAACTACAGATCCCACCCTCACTGATCGAATGTTATAATACGTCGTATTTCATGAACCGAGACAATCGCCTACCATCCAACATGGACACTTTGATCTCGCTCATTGAAAAGGTCGAACAGAGCTATACGGCAACGGGGTATCAGGTGGATATTCGCACCCTAGCCGTTGCTTTGCTGCATCGTTTCCGCCAGGACGGCATAAGACGAGCACCGGGTGTTACTCCCGTGAGTGGGGTGATACCCTACAGTCCAACGGGCTTCCAGTTTCCCAAACTACGAATTTTGCTATCTAGCCTGCTGCCCGGCAATGCTAACAATTTTCCAAACAGCTCGCTTACCAGCACGGAGCGCTGTTCCCTGCACTTCATGCTCTCCAGTACCTTCGATACGAGGCAGCGAGGCGATGAGAATACCGTGTGCGGACAGCTCTCCCAGTATCGCGCTCAGCGTTTGCCGCGCGCTCTCAAAAAAGATGCCAGCAGCAATTTCCTAGGGGATGCCGAGTGGCTAGATACTAAGCCAAAACGTACGCGTTCTGGTTCCAACTATGTGCAGATGGGCGAGCTCGACTACGAAACGGATTGGGCCTATGCGGGTACCGAGGGTCAAAGCCAGTGTCCTGTGGAAGATGGAGTCGTGCGCACGCCATGGGGCACCGTCTCTGCGGGCAGTCTAATAGCAGGTGTCGCAACTGGACTGCAGCAGCAAAATGTCCCGGTGAATACTCTGCTGCAACTCGCCAGACGTGGTCGCACTCAGTCTCAAACGGGTACCTCCTACGTGGACAATCGCTGGGCAGCTACGCTTGCCGGCGATCTGGCAGAGGTGACGCTCGTCCAAGTGCCAGTTTCCCCTAATAATGTGGCCACTGTGGGCGCTACAGGTGGTTGGAATGATACAGTGCTACCGCACTGGTATTTCCTGTCGCAGCGCAACAATTTGGAAGCAACCGATGCTGAGATTCGTGGCGGTCTAGACGGCCTCATCATAGCCAAGAACATTAACAGTTGGCGCACCCAAGCGTCAAGCTTGAAGCTCTCGCAGTTGCTGCGCATGTACTACTCCTCGACTGGTGTGCTGAGCTCTGGTATTCAGGCCTGCAGTCGCCAGCAGCAGTTCCCCAATGTAGCGCCCACAGCTG